TATATTGCATTCACTCTTCATTGTTGGCTTTTAATCTTACATTCATTCTTCATTGTTGGCGTTTTTATATTACATTTACTCTTCATTGTTGGCTTTTTATCTTACATTCACTTCTTCATTGTTGGCTTTTTATATTATATTTACTCTTCATTGTTGGCTTTTTATCTTACATTTATTCTTCATGTTGGCTTTTTTATTACATTTACTCTTCATTTTTGGCTTTTTATCTTACATTCATTCTTCATTGTTGGCTTTTTATATCACATTTACTCTTCATTGTTGGCTTTTTATCTTACATTCATTCTTCATTGTTGGCTTTTTATATTATATTTTACTCTTCATTGTGGCTTTTTATCTTACATTTATTCTTCATTGTTGGCTTTTTATATTATATTTACTCTTCATTGTTGGCTTTTTATCTTACATTTTATCTTCATTGTTGGCTTTTTATATTACATTTACTCTTTATTGTTGGCTTTTTTATCTTACATTCATTCTTCATTGTTGGCTTTTTATATCATATTTACTCTTCATTCTTGGCTTTTTATCTCTACATTCATTCTTCATTGTTGGCTTTTTATATTATATAATGTTGATGCGCGCGCATCCGTGACATGAGGAATTGACGGTGGAAAGACGGTCGTGACTATATAAGTTGATATAATAATAATAATAATATAATAATAATAATTATTATTATTATCATTAGATAATGATAATGATCATAATGATGATGCGCGCGCATCCGTAACATGAGGAATTGAGGAATTGAGGAGGAAAGACGGTCCTGACTATATATGTTGACTAGACGAATGGCCCGGGCAACGCCCGTGTTTTACCCGATTGAATGTTTTTATTCCAATACTATTTGTTACAATTATAAATTGGCGCCGTGGATGTCACACTTGTGAAACGTCCCGCTGCAAACTTTGTGTCTGAGAAGCGATATTTTTTATAGAAAGATGATCTGGCTTTTGTTTTCTGCTCGAATGAATGTTTTTCTGTTTGAATTTTGTTCCTGCGTACAAAATAATGAACTGGTTTCACCCGTGGTCTCTGCTTTTTGGAATTTTTCCCGATATAATTTTGTATCTGATAATCAAACATGATACAGCAATATCGTCATCATCATTTTCTGACTAAAAATATATAGTTTTAATAATTGATTTATATATATTTTTAAATAGCCTATCGTCTTCCCCGTATTTTTTACCTATGTATGGAAATTTTGGTTTGAATTAGTGAACTACTGCGAATTTGTATACCGGACATACAAACAAACATGCAAACAGACAAACATTCATTTTTATATATAAGAGATTTACTCTTCAAGGTTGGCTTTTTATATTATATTTACTCTTCATTGTTGGCTTTTTATCTTACATTCACTCTGTTGGCTTTTTATATTACACTTACTCTTCATTGTTGGCTTTTTATCTTACATTCACTCTGTTGGCTTTTTATATTACACTTACTCTTCATTGTTGGCTTTTTATCTTACATTCACTCTTCATTGTTGGCTTTTTATATTTATTTACTCTTCATTGTTGGTTTTTTTATCTTACATTCATTCTTCAAGGTTGGCTTTTTATATTACATTCACTCTTCATTGTTGGGTTTTTATCTTACATTTACTCTGTTGGCTTTTTATATTACATTTACTCTTCATTGTTGGCTTTTTATCTTACATTCACTCTTCATTGTTGGCTTTTTATATTATATTTACTCTTCATTGTTGGCTTTTTATATTACATTTACTATTCATTGTTGGCTTTTTTATCTTACATTCACTCTTCATTGTTGCTTTATATCTTACATTCATTCTTCATTGTTGGCTTTTTATATTACATTCACTCTTCATTGTTGGCTTTTTATCTTACATTCATTCTTCATTGTTGGCTTTTTATATTACATTCACTCTTCATTGTTGGCTTTCATATTATATTTACTCTTCATTGTTGGCTTTTTATCTTACATTTATACTTCATTGTTGGCTTTTTATATTACATTTACTCTTCATTGTTGGCTTTTATCTTACATTCATTCTTCATTGTTGGCTTTTTATATCATATTTACTCTTCATTGTTGGCTTTTTATCTTACATTCATTCTTCATTGTTGGCTTTTTATATTATACTAGACGAATGGCCCGGGCAACGCCCGGGTTTTACCCGAGTGCGCATATATTTTAAAAACGTTTTAATTCAAATACTATTCGTTACAATTATAAATTGGCGCCATGGATGTCACTCTTGTGAAACGTCCCGTTCCAAACTGTGTGCTTTTAAAATGTTTTAATTAAAATACTATTCGTTACAATTATAAATTGGCGCCGTGGATGTCTCTCTTGTGAAACGTCCCGCCCCAAACTGTGTGTGTCTTGAAAATATAAAAATAAAAATGTGAATTTTCATTTTTTTTTTGCATTTCACCTACTAAATCGATAGATATAATTACATTTGCAACATGAACTTAGGTATATTGACTAAATAGAAAACTGCATAGTAATAAAGATCATTTTTTAAAGGCACTATATCGTTTTTTTTTCAATAAAATCGAAACAAAAATTAACGATAAATAACGATAATTGCCTTAAAAAGAAATTGCCTTTAAAAAAAGAAACATTCGCGGTGATTTTGTCTTGCATTCGTTTATACAATTATTATATACGAATGACCCGGGCAACGCCCGGGTTTTACCCAATTAAATGCTTTTATTCAAATACTATTCGTTACAATTATAAATTGGCGCCGTGGATGTCATTCTTGTATAATATATATATGAGTTTTAAAAATTGTAAAAAAAAAAAAAAATGCATCGGCCGGGAATCGAACCCGGGCCCCCGCGTGGCAGGCGAGCATTCTACCACTGAACCACCGATGGTTATGAAAAATCCCATCCGTGAGCTTCAGACAAACAGAATAAGGCAAATATATAAGTAGATTTACTCTTCATCGTTGGCTTTTTATCTTACATTTATTCTTCATTTTTGGCTTTTATATTATATTTACTCTTCATTGTTGGCTTTTTATCTTACATTTATTCTTCATTGTTGGCTTTTTATATTACATTTAATCTTTATTGTTGGCTTTTTATCTTAATTCATTCTTCATTGTTGGCTTTTTATATCATATTTACTCTTCATTGTTGGCTTTTTATCTTACATTTATTCTTCATTGCTGGCTTTTTACATTATATTAATGATGATGCGCGCGCATCCGTGACATGAGGAATGAGGAATTGACGGTGGAAAGACGGTCGTGACTATTTATATTAATAATAAAATAATAAAATAATAATAATAATATTTTAATAATAATTAATATTATTATCATTAGATAATGATAATTATCTAATGATGATGCGCGCAATCCGTGACTGAGGAATTGAGGACGGTCGTGACTATATATGTTGATATAATAATAATATAATAATAATAATTATTATCATTAGATAATGATAATTATCATAATGATGATGCGCGCGCATCCGTGACATGAGGAATTGAGGAATTGTTGAGGAATGACGGTCGTCGTGACTATATATGTTGATTAATTAATAATAATAATAATAATATATAATAATAATAATTATTATTATCATTAGAAAATGATATAATTATCATAATTAATGATGCGCGCGCATCCGTGACATGAGGAAGACGTGTCGCGACTAATATGTTGATGGGTTAATAGATAAAGGACTATATTAAAATTTATACATCGCGTAATATCCAGTTTTTTTTACATTAATTTACATTTGGTATATTAAAAATTCTTTAATGCTTCAGAAATGTTATCAAGGCGTTTGTAAACATTGCGGGAGAACTATAATGATCAAATATATGATGAAAATAAAATTTGTTTGAAAATAAAAAATATGTTAGCTTTAGTAATTTCCTAGCAATTGTACTAACTAGCCTTTACCTGGTTTTATTCAGTTTAAAGTTTGCCTCTAACACACATTTGATTAAATATTTTTACCAAATATCATTCTCTACCAAAATTTATTCTACTAAAGATAAATTGAGATGTTTTTTACTTTTCTCCATCAGCAATACTAAATTAGTTATTGGAATATATTACATAATTGTAGCCTAAATACATATATTTTTAAAGGCGTAAAATCCTTTTTATAAATTAAACAAATCTACTGCCTTTACTGCAATGGAAAAACTAATTGGGAGGGCCTGCCTCATCAGTAGTAATTGTTTAATTTCAAAAAGAATCCTTACCCCTTTAAATTAGTTTTCGAATTTTGATAACAGATGGCGCGCCAGTGAACATATATTTTTCATATAAGGATATAGATATAATCAAAAACTAAAAATTTGATAATACCAAACATTTTAATATTTTGGAATTTTTAATTTGAAATATAATTATGAAATACTGACACCTAATGAAATAGCTCTAACTGGTTTATCCTCTAATGAATGCTTGTAAGGCGAATATAGTTTTGAAAATTTTATATACTATGATAATATCATTATCACCCTTCTCTCTTTTTAACATAGTTTCCAAGTGACCGGAGTTTACCGTATGCCTTAATATTGAGAGTATAGATGGTTTAAAAATTAAATGGATTTTGTTATGATGTTTTGATCCACCGCCAATTTTGAATAGCCTTTTACAACCCCCCACACCTCGGCCGGCGGGTACGGCAGGTCGGGCCGCATGCGCGGCGGTGGGTGGTAAACAACATGAAGAGGATACAATGTTTTGACTTCAGCACCAGCCAACGGCCATTTCATGCTCTACATTTCATCAAACCTTTTTGAACTCTTCTTAACTAACTCTTAATTTGTAAAAATATTAATAAATAAAAAACTAACATTAATATTTATAAACAATACTTAAAGTTACACCGCTTAAGTTTCTTTCTCTATGAAAAATCAATATTTATTTAAAAGAGAAATATTGACTATTCTAACTCTTTTTGAATGAAGTATGAGCGGGTGAAAATATGAAGAGTAATGGCGAACGGAAAAATAAAAGTGGCCAGCCAGGGCGGGAATCGAACCCACAACCTTCTGCTTACCGGGAAGGTGCCATGTCCACTAGGCTACCCTGGACATATTCCTCCGTTCGTAAATAATATACTTTAAAGTAACTTATAATACATATAAAGGACTGCGGCGGTGATTATAAACAATTACTTAAAGTTTACACCGCATAAGTTTCTTTTCTATGAAAAATCAATATTTATTTCAAAGAGAAATATTTACTATTTCTAACTTTTTTGAATGAAGTATGAGAGGGTGAAAATATGAGAGTAATGGCGAACGGAATTTTTTTTCCGTTCGACATTACCTCTCATATTTTCCACCCTCTCATACTTCATTCAAAAAAGTTAGAAATAGTAAATATTTCTCTTTGAAATAATTATTGATTTTTCATAGAAAAGAAACTTATGCGGTGTAACTTTAAGTATTGTTTATAATCCACCGCCGCAGTCCTTTATATGTATTAAGATTTATCTTGATATTATTCTGTAGTAATTAAAATACTGGAATGAAATAATTGGATCATTTCTTCAAAACCAGAGGAACCACACAATTTATTTTGATTTCTTAGAAGAAGAAATTACTAGCAGGTTTTGAAGTAAACTTTTCTAGCCAAAAGAATCTTACAATTGAAGCAGTCTCGGAACACAGATAAGCCATGGGAATCCAGAGAAGAATCAGGAAGGGAATATTGCCACCAAAGATGATTCTGATTGTCAGAAAAAAATTTGAATTGACACTTGAATTATAAACCGAAATATGTACATTCAAAAATTGACTATAATTCAATAAAAGGAAACACATTAGGTTTTAAAATAAAGAATATAGTGAGTAAAGGAATAAATAATTTGAATTTGAAGAAAAATATCTACGCATTGTAGACTATATAATAAATTGAAAATTAAATACCAACAAATATTTGGAGAAAAAATGAGTATGAAAGACTAATTAAAAATTGAAAACTTGGTATATAGATTGACTATGTACAGTTCAGCATCTTTAGTTGAGATTGCTTTGAACTGTACAACTAAGAGTCCTCTTGTGTATTATCGATTAATATTTTAGAATATTTTAATTATTTACAGTTTTTGCCTTATATAAAAACAAATGTATCCAGGCTTGTATGTTTCGTGGTAGATTTAATAGGGAAGAATCTTTGATTAAGAGCAGTCCAAAAAGTGTACCCATCTGTAATTGCTGTAGTTGTCATGCTTGGCAGCTGAATGCAATCATATATTCATATAGATATTTTTCCAAAATATATTTAAAAATAAAAAATATATATATTTTATATATATTATAATTGCAATTAATATTTTAAAACAGATTATTTTATTCCATCTAACCAGATATTTTGAAAAATCAAATATAAATAATCCATTAACTATATATTAATAATCCATATCTATTTTGAAATCTTTTATGAAATTACATATAATTTTTTTTTTTTTTTTTATCCTTGGATAATACAAAGTGCAAGAGGAAAATGGATCGAACATAGGTGTTGAAGAAAGAAATATTAGAAGGTTGGAAGAAATATAACAACTGGAGGGGGGTCGGTGGAAGGCTGGTTTAAACCGTTTGGTTTTCGACCACTAAGGACCCGGGTTCGATTCCCGCATTGGACACTTATTATGTTTAAAAAAAAATGCTCCAATGGCCCCCGATTCTTGCAAAAGTCCAACCCACCAGCGAGTGCAAGTAACCAAACGGGGCTCTGGCATTTGTAAGTGCAAAGTCGAACTGCTTGTTCACATGTGTAGACATGTGGTGCGCTTACAGTAAAAAGCAGTCGCTAACTACCCACCATGATTATCATGGCCTGTACCACGTGTACTAGGGATATAAGCAAAAAAATAAATAAATAAAATAACAACTGGAGAGTTTGTAAACAAAAAATATCAAGTTTCTGCCGCTTTACATTTGGCTGCTATAGATGGAAGAATTGACATCTGTCGTTGTTTGATTGAAGCAGGAGCCAATGTAAATATTAAAAATTAAATTCAACGAGACACCACTCCTTTTAAGTTTGAAGTACAAAAATGGAAACCTTGCAAGATATTAATTGATTCCGGAGCAGATGTCAATGCAAAAGATTGTGCAAACAAAGCGCCTTTATCAATAAAGTATCTGTTTCAAAGATTTTAATTTATTTAAGCATTTGATGAGAAGGAGCAGATATTAATATTAAATACAAGGGAGAAAATCTTTTAGAAAGAGCCTATCGATATTGCCAATCCAAAATATATGTGAGTATTTAAGTGAAATTTGGATTTGACATTAATGCTGAAAATTATAGAAAGACTCCAATGATAGGGCAATATTGCAAAAAAAAAATGAGATTTTCAGATTTTTATTAGAATCCTGGAGCTAATATAAATCAAAGGTTAAGACCATATGGATTTACACCACTTATTCCACACGATTACTTTTGTAGAAATGAATGAAAAAGTGGAAAAAATGGAGTTAGATTAATAAACGCAGGAGCCGAAGTAAATACAGCAGATGCCTAGGGTAGAACGGCATTAATGTATGCTGTGAGGTTTCGATATTATAATATTTCTAAGTTACTTATACATGCAGGTGCGTGATGTTAATGCGATATCTTCTATTGGTGAAACTGCTCTAGGAATTGTCTTAGATCCCCTTGATGAAAAGCTTATTAGAATTATTACTTGAAGCAGGAGTTGATGTTGATGGAAATGGATATACAAACACGGTTTATACCACTGTATATCAGGTACCTGAAAGTTTATGCCTATAATTTTTTAAAAGCCTTCTTACACTTATTGCAAGATATAGATATCTTCAAATATTTGAACACAGAAAACAAAATATCTAATTCTCTATTGAGAAACTTACAATTATTGACGAGAAAGTACGTTTTACTTCATCCCCTTTGTTTCAATACCTCAAAATTTGGACCTTCCAAATGTTTTAGCAGAATGGTGGGATGAGTGTCAGGACAAGTTTGAAAATGCAGAAGTACAAGCTTGGCAAGAGCCACATACTTTATATGCCTACATGTTGGAAAGGGACTATACCAGAAGGGCGATGTTCATTTCCAAACAGCACCACGGGGTTGAAACAAGATCTTGAAACAATCATAATGAAGGAGAACTTCTCAAACTACGCTGACCATGATTGAGAACGGTCGATGAAGACTCGTAGAGGAAACTGCTAGCGTGGACTCCATCGCAGTGGATGGCCGGTTTGGCCGCGTCACCAACCATCCTTCTATTGGGAGCTATCTGACCAAGATACAATCAGGACTTAAACTATTCAAGTGCCACACTAATCACTTCTATTGAATGTAATATTTTGATATTTTTGTTATGTTTTTTAATGAATGAATCGAAAGTCGCAATAAAATATTATGTTAGATATATACTTATTTTTTAAATGTAGTTATGTATTTTAAATATATATATACTATGTGTATTTTTGTATGTATATACTGTGCGAGTAGCGTCTTCAATAACAAGAAAGCTAGTTTAAATATACTTATGTTTCTCCTTAATATAAAGTTAAATGAGAAATATCATGAGGGATGTCTTTTTTATATTTTCAATTACACTTAATATTTAATACAGTGATAAAACTGATTAACAAATTGTTCCTTTGAACAGATTTTCGCCTTAATCTCGCAATATATATGAATTAACCCATTCATTGCGAGAGGGCTAATTTTATTTTTAGTCATTTGTTACCAAGAGTTCCATTATAGTATGTATATTTGAAGGCCTCCTATTTCTACTTAATCACTCATGACAATGCTATTATTAAGAAAAAATTGATGAATGTCTCAAATAATATTAAAATCATTGAAACAACATCGTGAGTAGTCAAGTGTAGTTAGAAATTGAATCACTAAAAAATAATAAATTTACTTGTAAATATCAAAACTTGTTGAGCAAAAAAAAAAGGGTTTTCTCACTACAAATAAAAATAATGTCGTTAGGTAACTGTACTATATATTGAGAGGATGGGTAAATAAGTTACTGAATCCTTTTGATTTCATAATCAGGTTTTTGTTATATGAATTAATAAAGTTATAGAGAGTTCATATAATATATATTGCATATTAGATATACATATCATCTTCACATAAGTTCATGATATGCTCCAGGAGCCTGAGTTAACTATATGTTACTATAGTAACATAGTACTTTAGTTTAACCCAGTAAATAACTGGGTTAAAGCCTGGGCGCTTACTTTGTTAATAAAAGAGAGGGAGAGGACATTGTTCTATTATTTTAAAATAGAACCTATTTCAATATGAAGTTTTCTCTATCTCTGTCTTTCTTTCCAACTATTTTGCCTTTTCATTGGCGATATAGTTATTAAAAGTCATTTTTTAATATATAAAGCGCCTCAATATAACTAAAAAAATGAAAATATTCAATGGCATAGTTGAACATATATATATAGGTTAATTGAAAAAGAACTATATTAAAATATATACATAGATATTGTTTTAGATAATTGATGAAAATAACTTTGACTTGTGCTTAATTAATAGGTAGTAAATCTTAGTTTTGATAAATATTCTTTAAGATAATAAATTTAGTGATAATAAAACTTATAGATAAAAAACCTTGTTGGTAATCAAACTTATAGATTATAGACCTTGTTGGTATTCATACTTTTAGATAAAAAACTTAGATGTAATAAAACTTATTGGTAAATAAAAACACTCTTTATCAACCTTTTGGTAGAAATACTTGCTTAAATATATGTTTAAAATAGTGTACTTAACTTGGATAATTTAAGATTGACATTGGATTGAATTTAGGTACTTTAATTAAACATAAGGCTTAAATATGAAAAAGTTCAACGCGCGTTTAAATGGCGTCGCTTCCCTTCTTGGTAAAAGTTCTTCCTGCTTATTTTTTTCCGCCAAGCATGCTCACCACCTCTGATTCTTCGTCACGAACTACGGAGGTGCACCACTTCTGACTGGGTGTGGCGCCGCCAGGCGAGCTTAGCTAGATTTGGTCAATCTAACCTCTCCATACTCCCGGTCGGGCCTGTGGTTAGGGTCAAATCACTGCACAGGCAAAACAGCTA